GAAAAGACATATGCATTTATGTGTTCGTTGTAGCATCATTTACAATAGCCAAGATACAGCAGCAACCTAAGTCCATCAATATAAGAATAGATAAAGAACAGTGATACATTTATACAATGGAATATTAGTCATAAAAAAAGAATGAAATCTTGCCATCTGCAACAACAGATAGATCTAGAGGGTATCATGCCAAGTGAAAAAAGTCAGAGAAAGACAAATACCATATGATTTCACTTATATGTGGAATTAAAAAAACAAAACAAAATTAATGAATAAAAACAAACTCATAGATACAGAGAATATTTTGATGGTTGTCAGATGGGAAGGAGACTGAAGGGCTGGGTGAAAAAAAGAGGAGGAATTAAGAGGTACAAATTGGTAGTTATAAAATAGTCACGGGGATGTAAAGTACAGCATAGGGAATACAGTCAGTAATATTGTAATAACTATGTATGGTGTCAGATGCATACTAGATTTATTGAGGGATCACTTCTTAAGTTATATAATTGTCTAATCACTATGTTGTACATCTGAAACTAATTTAATATTGTATGTTAACTGTAATTGAAAAATAAAAGTTAAAAAAAAAAAATCAATTAAAAAAAACTGAAGAATACAACAGCCCCACAGGGGACTGGTTTGGAAATGGGACTTTACCCCAAACCAGAAGAATAAGAGCCATCCCAGGAATTTTGCTGGAATTTTCTAAATAATGGTTTCTAATGGTTTCTCTCCCCTCCTGAGATTGTAAACACTAAATACCATGTAAGTCTGGAAATACTGCCACTACAGTGAAAGATAATATACCCGAAAATGAAACTAAGAAAGAAGAGTAGAGATTAGAAAAGACCATGTTTTGATGATATAATTTAAGCCATTAGATATAACTGTGAAACCCTGAAATACTTAGTTACAGAAACCAATATTACTCCATTTATTTTTCTCAAACTGGTTTGAGCTGCATTTCTGTCTTGCAAGCAAGAAACCTATTATAAGATAATAAGCTTAACTGCTCTTTATAGACAATTATCACGAAGCTCTTATGTGTAGCATCAAAAAACCCACCATCTCTTTTATAGCACTCATATCGAATTGTCAAAGTAGCTATTTTGAAAGAAACAGGCTTAGCTTGCAAAAGTTAGAAGGCTAGCTGTTTTTCTAAATAGACTCATGGTGAAACCTGAATCACACTTACAGAAGTAGACTAAAGATCACTGACCATACTCACAAAATAATTTCATAGCATCTAAGCATGTGTACAAATTGACTGGCTTTTTAAAAAAAAAGTCACTCTTCCCATAAGCAGCCTGAGGTGACCTCTGAAAATGGTTTGCTATTCACTTGACCCACAAAACCACAAAAAAAATCATGCAAATCAAGGTCTAAATCTTTATGCTCACTTTAAGAACACTCATGAAACTGCCCAGGTCATATCCAGAAAGCCACCAAGTATCTGAAGGATGTCACTTTACAGAAGCAATGTGTGCCATTCCATTGGGAGTTGGTAGGTGTGCCCAGGCCAAACAGTGGGGCTGAATGCAGGGTTGGTGGCCCAAAAAGAGCGCTGAATTTTTGCTACACACGCTTAAAAATGCAGAGAGTAATGCTGAACTTAAGGATTTAGATATAAAAGCTCTCAAGACACGGAGCAGAACTCACAGAGCTTGTGGGCGGATTAACTCTACCCGAGCTGTCCCTGCCACAGTGAGTTGATCCTTACTGCAAAGGAGTAGACTGTTCCTAAATCAGAAGAGGTTTCACAGAAGAAAAAGATATCCCAGAAGAAACTGAAGAAACAAAAACTTATGGCCTGAGAGTAAATTCAGCATCAAATAAATGCTAACAAAAGTTTAAAAAAAAACAAAAAAAAGTCTATTTTTTTCCTACCATCCTCGTTCCAAAGAATGTGATTTCCTTTCCTCTTAACGACCTCAAATTCTGGCCCTAGACTCTTTCAGAAATATACTCCTAAAAAATCATCCTAAATTCAGGGGGGTGGAGGGAAGTATACACACACAGAGATATTATACTATCATATATAATTCTTTATAAATGCTAAAAAATAAAGGAAAATGATGAAGTGTTCAGCGAGAATAGTCAAGTAAACCATATTCACAAAATGAAAAGTTAGACAACCATTAAAAATGAAGTTTACAAAGACTACATGAAAATTACTTATATTAGATTAAGAAAAAAATTATAGACACATAATCACAATACAAAAGATACTTGAAGGATAAAAGGCTTGAAGGAAGTACAACATAAAACAGAAAAAGTGATTTCGTTTTGGTAGATGACTCTGGCTTAATTTTTTCTTCTACTTTTGGCCATTTTCTAACTTTTCTTATAGGACCATGTATTATTTTTCTGTTTTAAAAATTATAAGATCAATTGGAGGGGAAATTGTCCAACCAGGACCAAGAAGTATTCTTCCTTGAAATGTTCAAGCCTACTGCATATCAGTCCAAAATAACACTCAGTTCAGTATCTTGAACTTTGAACTGTCCCTTCAGATGGTGGTAACAGCAACAATAGAAAACTTAAGCTTCGAGATGGCAAACTAAACACGTATTTACAACCTGCCCCTCCAAGTCCCACTAAAACAAACACAAAGAAAAGCCCAAATAGACCCCGTAACACTGAAAAGAATAAAAGAGGTCACCAACAGGTAAGGTTTCAAAAGTTTATAAGGGATAGAAGGAACAGATGGGATTAGGTCGGAGGATAAAATAGGTAGAAAAAGCTGCAGCCCAGAACCTGTTATTAGGGGCTGGGAATCAGCCTGCATGATAGAACCTAGAGCTGGGCTCAGGGCTAGTTGGTATATTGTGTACAAGAGTGATGTATGAGGTGAAAAGAGGGAGATTGCTTGAAGGTCTGCATACAAAATGACTAATAGCTGGTACCACCATTCCCCTGCCACAACTTCAAGCACAAAGCAGTGAGCCAGAATTTGCCTCCAGCTAAAATATTAGATATTCTCTAAAGAAATTAAACTGTTTGGAACAACCAAAACCCTTCTACTGTGAATGGTGGTATCCTAGATGAAGCCCTTCTCACTCTGGTATCTGGAGGGCTTTACAGCCTGTCAGCCAATTTCAGATCTGCTCATCCTAAGGCAAAGCCTGTCTGTCACAGATTCCCTGTCTCCACCCACCCCCGCCCACCCCGCACACAAAGATTCTAAATCCTCACTCAGGATTTAGAATGTCCTTCTTACATAAAGGTATAAACTAGAATACATGATTCGATCTGATAATGAATAATATTTAAATAATGATAATGCTATAATTGCTATTTGCTGATTTTCAAATTTTAGATCAACTATGGACCAAGTACAGAAGATAGGTTATGCCTGTAGGCATAATACTATTAGCAACTTTGAAAATATAAACATAAAGCTAAAAGAAAATCGGATTTTGGCCAAGGTAGGGCAAGAGGGGAGGTAGATTAAAGGGAAGGAGTACTAATAGAGGTTTATATATATTAAATTTACAAAGGTAACAATAGAAAACTTTAATCTGGATAAATATCAAACATGAAGAGGAAAAGAAATGGGGATAGGAATAGTATAAGTATGTTTAATCCTAATTTTTCATCTTAAGGAATCAACACATAAACTGATAAATTTAATAAAGCAAGTTGATAAATCAGAGATTAGTGGTATAGCATATCTTCCAAAATTCTAAAATCACAGAATTAAATATGGAAAAAGAGTTAAAAAAAAAAGAAACTAACTAGGAAGTGTAACTGAAGTTAAGGAGTAAATGAAGAAAACTTGCTATTCATCCTAAAATACTATTATCTGACATATTCCCACTTGGTTATATTACTTTAATAAAAATATCTTTTAAAACTAAATATGTTCATTTGTTCTGAAATCCCAGAGTATTTTAAACTGCTCAGCCTATATCAAGTCTTGTCTTCCACTGTTCTTTCATTCAATGCTCTCCCCTTGCCTCTTCTATGAATTTGCTTCCTGACTTTATTACCATCTATCATGTTTGACTTGCCTTCTCCTCTCTCCTTCTCTTTTGTCTTAAGCCAAGACAGGTCTCTCCTATCCTAGGGCAAAAAAAATTTTTCACTTGATTGGAATGTTCTGCATCATTCCTCTTCTGTTTCTCTTCTTCCTTTCACTTTCCAACTTAAAAAAAAGTAGTCTTTATTTCCTTCCTAAAATCTGGCCTTCAAACACCAAGTGTAATGATGCTTTTATAGTCCTCATTCTACTTTGTATTTTATTCAAGCATTTCACATGGAGCTTTTCTTTTTCGCCTCTTTTTCTAAGGCACAGGTAAGAATAGAGAGGGAGCAGAAATACCTCACAAGAACAATGTTCCAAAGAACACCTGGGGAAATGCTGGCATGAAGCGTTCCAATTACAAATGCATCACTGCGTTGTTCAGGAATATTTAATCTGCCTTTTGGCACTGAAGAAAAAATCCAAATAAACAGCTAAAAACAACCAACCTCTCAACATAAGTGTTGTAATATTTATTAGTCTTTCATAATCAGATTAATGTGCAAGAAGACTAATAAAATACAAACCTGAGTGAAGGAAACATTCTAAAGACACTAAATCCAAAGCTAAAAATGATGACACACTGCCTCAATACAGTTACCCTACAGTAAATCTCAACATTCCCCACTAAAAACAGTACATATGTTATAAATGAAGAGAAATAAAAAATAAAATTGTACAGGAATTAGTGAATGAACTAAGAAGAGCCAAATTCTAAAACTTACCATTAGCAATATCCTGGTTTTCTTTAAAATATAATCAATTTTGGCTTTTAAAAGTACATTAATTTGTTACGTTGGGTTATTCATATCTGCAAGAAATAGGGCCTATTTTTTGGTAAGATAATTGAAAGGGGAAAGACCCATATAAAGCACTGGTTGTGAGCCTCAAAGTTAGTGGGAGAAATTTTAAAAACTAACTAAAAGAGCCATACTTATGGAAAAACTACCTGATTTTATTATCAATGCCAAACAAGTTTTTAAATCAATTAAAATTTATTTAATTTGCATAAAATTACTTTCACATTTGTCTATAACCATAGTCAATACAGTTCTTGGAATAAAGACACAGCCTTTGGAGTTTAAAACGTCCCCAACTGCAAGATTACATATAGAAAACTCCTATTATTGTTTATGTGATAGTGGATTTGTTAATCAAATTAAAATAATTATACTATCTAGAACAAAATAAAATGGAAATAATTTACTCATAAGATTCATATTTAAATCATCTTTATTTACAAAATACTATCCTGAGAATTATAATTCCATTAAGCTTCAATTTGAGCAAAAGTATAATCACTTAAGTAACTGCAGTTACTTAAACTGAAAATGAAAGAGATGTCAAAATTACTTCTGAAGATAGATCAAAAATATTGTCAAGTTTCTTGCTGTGGTTCTGGATTTTCAGTAGTAGGCTCATTTGAAGGCGGAATCAAACCTGAAGGGAACTCACTCCTATTTTCAGGATGTGGGAGCGGGGGAAAAATTCCGGCTCTTGGGGGAAGATAATGAGGAAAACTTCTCGGTGAATAGACATTTCTCACTGTTCAAAGAGATTGGTAAAAGACATTTTTTAACTTTAAGCACCTGTACTGCAGTCCTAATAAATCATTAGCATTTAACTTCCAGTACCTATCTTCATATTCAAAAACTGATACTAGATTACTCGAATTAACAAATGAAATTTTACAACACTGAGAAAAATATGCTTTCTTCAACTATATATTTTTAAAGAGAATATCATTAATTTTAGAAACAATTTCTGTCCTGAGAAAATCTAACATCTTAACACTTTTTTAAAAATTATTTCAAACTACACAAAGTTTTTTTAAGTTTTCATGTAATGTAATTTTCACCAGACTTAAAATTCAGATTAGTAATTCCCAGTTCTAATTTGATATTATCCTAAAACATTCACAATTATATCAAACACCATCTTAAAATTTCCCAAACAAAATTCATTTTAATTCACCTTAAACTTTAAAATAGAGGAGAAATGAGGGAAGGAATGACCACATCAGGCAAATAATAGGCTTCTGCCTAAAGTTTGTTAACCATCTACTTATTCCGCAGAAACCTATAGTTCTAAATGGCAATATATAGATATAAAAGCAATAAATTATTCCACTTTTCTGATGTGAGGCCATGAAAGAGTTTCAATAAATTCAACAATTAGTCCAAACATGATAAATATATTTTAGGTTTTAAATAAGTAGGACTGCATGAGAACTACTTAAGAAAGGATGTTAAAAAATTCTTTAGACAGTAATTTTAATGCTAAAATAGAAACTGTAATAATTTTTAGTCACTGACATAGTAACAAGTTTCTACCAAATAAGATACAAATAATTTCAGTCTTAAGACTGCTGCAAAAAGCCAACAATTTTCTTGACAAGTGAACTACAGAAATAATTCCACATATTGAGATGAATCAAGATGAAGTCTCATTACAGTCTACTGACGACTGGCCACCTTCCCAATTTGGAAAAGTAACGGTACACTCACAGATGGTGAGAAAAATTTTCCACTACTGTATTACTACATGAATAGAAAGTAGAATTAATATCTTTCATTTATTCTACAAAACACATATTAAGTTAAAAAAGAAAAGAAAAAGGCATACTTGCAAATGGAGGAGGTGGTGGGCCAGGAAAGTCCCTTGGAGGAAAATACTCTCGGGAAGCTCCATACATGCCTCCTGGGGGAGGTGGAGGAAAAGGAGGGCCTCTTCTCACGTACGGGCCTCTTGTGTCCATTAGAAACAACGGACCTCTGATTGGAGGAAACGGTGGAGGAACAAAGCCAGGCCCAGCTGCTTCATTTTCAGCGGGGAGAGCTGAATCAGGCACATTTAAATTCTATAACAAATTGACATATAGCAGTCACTAAAACAAGAGCAAATTCTGTAATTATTTTCCTGAAATCTTAGGCTTAGAAGAAAGCCCCCTAGGCATCTAGGCAGGAAGCACTCTACAGTAGTCTTAAAAAGGCTCCAGAGAAAGATTCAAACAGTTTTCTACATCAGACAAATTTTTGCCATCACAAATTTTTATTACCTCAACAGAAAACAGCTTTAACCAACAAAGTAATATTTTGACAAACGATATAACACAATAGTCCAAAAGTACCAAAATACATTCTTGTATCAAGCATATACTAAAAAAAGAATACTTATGTTTATATTTTCAACATAAAATAAGGTGACCAAAACCAAAATTACAAACAAAGTAACAAAAATATACTTTAAAACATTCAAATAAAAATCCAATGGGGAAAATTCGAAGTCTTATTTAACTATAGTAAACTAACTCAAGCCTCTGGTTTGTTGATAGGTTACAGTCTGTAAATTGTACCTGATCACCATCGGGTACAATCCAGAAAAGAAACAGCTATAATGCTAAGTAGGAAGTATATTTGTCAAAATGAAAGAAACAGCTTTATATCAAAAACTAGATGGCTAGCTACACTTCTATTCTAGTAAACCAAGAGTTCAGAAGTCTCCTGGAAAAAAGATAAAATTCCACTTTCAATACTTACACCAAGATCATCTTTGCTATCATTTCTACTGGATTCCATTTCTGAAGACACTGGCTCATCTAGACATAAAAGTTAAATCGTTAAAAATACATGACTTATAAATCCATTCCTAGAATAGCTCCAGATCACAAAAGATATTGATACTTTCCCACTCCCCGTATCAGCACATAAATCGGCTTGACACCAGCAACTTGCATTAGGGCCACAAGAACAGCTTGAGGTCCCTGAAAATTATGACAGACTCAAAGTTCTGCAAAGGCATTTGGCAGTGATTTCCCAAGCTTGTTCCCAGGCAATCCTGCTGCAAGTAGCATCATAAGGAGACTTCTAGGAGGTAACATTCCTTTTCATCCTTCCTTTCTTTCCTTCCTTCATTTTTCTCCAGCCTTATGTCCTTTCTATTCTACCTCCCACTCTCCCTCTCCTCTTTTGCTCCTTCTTTTCCTCTCATCCTTCCTTCCTTATTTCTCCATCAGGTAGCATAGACTAGTATTTGAATTTAGCCACTGTTTCTGAATGTTCCTGAACTTTGTTATCACCAAGAACTGCTCAATCTCTGAGAACATTCCAGCCCTAGATTAATCCAACTCTCTGCCTCTCCTCTGCCTATACCTGAGCCACTTAGCACTTCTGTGGGTAAAATATACCAGAGTCGTGCAGACTGGCATCACAGTAAAGGCTGACAGATCTCCAGCCAACTTCCAGATGCCTACTGCCTAGCTTTCCTTCTGTATCTTCTATGCCAGTTTTCTCCTCAGCAATTTCAAACCTCTGTTCTCCTACAAGCTACTATACCAGTCACTTAAAAACTAACTCCCTTAACTTTGTAATCAAGCATAAAACGGCAACCATATTACTATGACCTGTCCTCCTATTATCATGGAAAAGCATCCTTCTAGACAATCTATAACCCAAATTCTGTGCTCAGAATCTCTCCCTCCAGCTTCCTCAGAGATCTTTCTCTGTGTTTCCTTCCCTCCTTCCTTTCTGCTAGACCTGTCCTATCAGCAAGTCTCTCCCAACTACTATTTAAAAATGAGACAGAAAAAGAGAATCTCCCTATAGCTACCTCTCTACTTCAAAATCAAGAATTGTTCTATACATATTGCTCAGAATCCCTCCCATTCTGATCTCATTACTATAATGTATTTGCAACATCAACTGCTCCACCGAAATTATTTCCCCAAGATCAAAAACTGTCTCTGTTTGCTAAATTAAAACAGACACTTTTATAATCTTTATATTGTTTCTCATCATTGTTGACTATTCTCCCCCTTTTTAAATCCTCCCAGCCTTTAATTTCTGCAATGGTATCCTCCTTTCTCTCTCTCTCTACTTCTTAGCTGCTCTTTCTCAGTCTCTTTGGTGGGTTTCACTACCTCTGACCATTCTTAAACTGTGGTCTCCTCAGAGTTCTATCCTCGGCCCTATTCTCCTCTCATTCTCTCTTTGAGAAATCCCAACTACTCTTACAGCTTTAATTTGATGTATACTACTAATGACTTCCAGATGTGATTCAGATCTAGCTATTTCCCCTAGGACTTAAAAGCTTGAACTGCCTATCTGAATTTTCATGCAGCTGTATCACAGGTGCTGCTAATTTTCTAAGTTCGAAATGTAACTCACAATCTTTCCAGTCAAACTTTCTGCTGCTCCTTGTTCCTCACCTCAGAACAATGAATGGCGCAGGTGCCAAAGCTAGGAACCTGGGTATCAACCAAATTCCTTCTTCTCCCTCACTCCCACATGCATTAAATCCTAAATCCTCCCAATTCTATTTTCTCTGTCTGTTTACATTTATCTATATCCTCTGTAAATCATCACCATCACTCAAGTAGATTCCTATTATAGTCTCCTAAAAAGTTACCCTGCCTCCAACCTTGACCACTCTCTCCAAACTATTCACCATAATACAATCACAGTAATTCCTCTAAAATGCGTATTTTGATTACATTCTTGTTTGAAAGCCTTTATTGTGCTCCCTTTTCCCTGCGAATAAGTCCAAATTTCTGAACTGGTCTGCAAGACCCTGAAAACTCTCTGCCCCTCTTCACTACTTGTTTCAGTATTCCTTGACTCATGCTCCATGTTGCAGCCATAATTAATTAGGGACTCTTAACACTAAATCTTTAAAGATGCTATTCTCTTCTCCTAGAACATGATCACCGTCATTTTGGTCTAGCTAATTCCTCCTTTAATTTTCAGCTTATATGTCACTACCTTCAAAAAGATTTTGGCTATCCCACATTCAAAACACTAACACCTCATCTTCATGAATGCCCCATATGCTCCCATAACATTTTGTACTTATACTCTTGTCATTATGTAATGCAACTGCCTACAGACCTTTACTAGACCTCAAGGTATAAAGGAATGCTGAGCCCTTGTTCACCACTGAAATACAGCAACTACTATAATGCCTGTCATACAATAAGCATTCTATAGACATTTAGTGAATCAGTGGCTAGGTCCACCATCCTCTCATTTCAATAAAATACGGGGCTCTGGAGTCAGACAAACATGGGTTCAAATCCTGCCTCTAGGCCTCCTGAGCCACGCTTCTCTTGCTCAGGCCCACTTCCACGTTTGGAAGTGTACTTTCCTTTCTAATAAAGCTTTTCTTTTCTGCTGTAAAAAAAGAAAAAAGAAAGAGAGAGGGAGGGAGGGAGGAAATAAGGAATAAAGGAAAGGAAAGGAAAAAGGAGAAAGGAGAAAGGGAGGAGGAGGGAAAGCTGTTTAAGTGGGTTCTTTTATTTGCACCAAAAAGAAAAGAAAAAAGAGAGGGGAGGGGAGGGGAGGAGAGGAGAGGAGAGGAGAGGAAAGGAAATATCCTGCCTCTGATACTTTCTACCCTGAGATCTTGAGCACATTTTTGAGCCTTGGTTTCTTCATCTATAAAATGAAGATAATAGTGTCTACTTCATAGGTTCATTGTGAAGATTAAATAAGATATTCACTTTCATTCAATAAATGCTTATGACCACCAGTGCTAGTCAATGCGTTTCAAGCATATCTTTCACCATTCTTTTCCATGTAAATATCACATATTGACAAACCAAATAGTAATGTTACGTTTAAACAGAACTTTTCAATTCACAAAACCCTTCCACACACATTAACTCACTTGATCATAAAACTTGTCAAGTGATTAATATCTCAGTTTTATAGCCATTATCCATGACTCATGCTGTTTTTTTTGTTTTTGGTTTTGGTTTTGCTTATGCTCTTCATTATTATTGACACAGACCCCTGCCTCTCAACTAATTTTTCAAATTCCCTCAAAAGTACCTCAGATGGTACCTCCTTCATCAAGTTTTCCCTGATTCTTCAACTAGATGAGAGTTCTCACTTTCTGTGACACAGCATATTCTCTAAAAGGACTTGTTATTCTGACCAGTATTAAAGATAAATATCTTTTTCTCCTACTTAATTATTCATATAATTATAATAATACCTTAGTATGTTGTCTGCCATGTCATGTAGGGCATCTTCTAAACAAGAAGCACTTAAAAATTATCTGCCTAATTGGATACTGTTCAATTATCAAAAAAAAAAGGACATGTAAAAAATTTTAAATAGCACTAGTTTATAAACAGTGCAATTATAGATATATTTTCATTCTGTTAAGCTTGAATTAATGAGAAAATAATTTCAAAAGACTAACAGAAACAATTAATTTAATTATGACTAATTAACAGAAATCCGGACAATAGGTATGCTTCTTTCTTTGCTCGTTATTCAAAAAAGATTTTCTAAATTCTATGTATTTCAAACAAATGATGCTTTCCTCCCAAACATATACACGCTCCTGAGGAAAATTCTACTAATAAATTTATATTAATTTTCTACTTATGTTTTAATCTTTTTATAGTCTTCATGTTCTCATTTTTGATTGATACATTGGATATATACATATTTCCCAACTTTAGTGGCTTGCTATGAGATGGTTTAAGGAAAGAGGGCCTGACAAAATAGTAGGTTTTCAGTTAATGTTAGTTAAATATATCTAAGTATGAAATGTTTAAATAAGATTACCGATTAAATCAACAACAGAGCATGTACCCGAATTATTTTTCTGGTAGATTTTCACATGCCCTTTCACATTCACCTAAATTTCCCTGATTACTAAACAGGATATATGTACATGGACTAGAAAAATTAGAAAAATAATCATGGAACGCAGCAAAATTTCCCATCATAGGAACATAAAGTAAATCCATTATCAAGGTGCCCAAACCAATCACCAACATTTACATAGATGCCATGGATGTGTACAATATAATAAGAAAGATAAAACCAGGAAGGTTTTGGGAAAGAGATTTTGGCCTTAAGAGATACTAGAAATAGCAATTTTATTATCTTTTATTCAGCTTTTAATTCTTTATTGCCACCATTATGAAAAAACTCATACATACACACAAACTATTTCTTACCCACTTTATCCAGTGATGGCATATTAAAACTTCTGAGTTCTGCTGGTCCAGATAGTCTACCAGAATTAGAATAAAATCTGTCTTGCCTCTGCAGAGGAAGCGTTGGATCAGGATATGGTTGGCCTAGAAAACAAGTTTTAAAATATTTTCAGTAGTATAAAAACAAATCAAGTTTACTTAAGCTTAATTCAGTGAATGTAGACATTTCTCTTGCTTCCTAAATGACAATGACCAATATTCTTGGTAGACAATAGTAAACAATTTTAGGAAAATTACATTTTGTATTCAAGGCAATAACCTTAATTGCTTTTGTAGTAAAGACAAGTATAATATTCTATCCTGGATTTTAAAAGTTTCAATTACTATGTGTAAATTAAAATATATGAATAGAATTAGTTATATATATTCATTTAACTTTCAATTTTAATAATGGTAGAAGGAAGTGGATACATCAATATATCAGAAAAGACTGAAAAAGATAGCTATAACAAAGAAAGAAAAAATAGAATATGTTGTCAGCATAGCAAGAAATTTAGCAGAACAATGATAAAAGAAATGGTCACTATTTCTTTCAGGGGTCATCAGTGATCAAATTCTCAGTAACTGAAATATTCTGGAAATTTAGCATCCCTCCAAAACTAAAGGGGAAGATCTCTGACACAACAGATGAATGAAAAGTTCACAAGCTCAGATTAAGGACATCTGGATAGATGTCAATTTGGTCACAGACTCTGACTCAGGTACTTCTATAGCCACCGTCTTTTCTCCGCAGGAGTCATTTAAGATGACAAAATGGTCATTCCTGGGTTCCTGTAGATCTCATCACTCTTGAAAAAAAAAAAACCAGGTAGTCTATCTCATCTTTGATAGGCGTTGGGAGACTTTTGATAGATTAAGTATGCAAATGTCCAACTCCAAAAATATAGGAAAGGCTGAAGGGGGTGAATTGTGTGACTCTCTCCTATCCTTACAGGTATAGAGAAATATCCCCACCTTCCATAACTGTCTTAGTGGTTCTTAATGTGAGCTCCATACAATGTTTGAGATGTCACTCATCTGATTCTGTCCCATGAGACCTTACTGACACACCTCTCTCACACAAAATGAAGAAATCACCTGGCATCAACCAGAGTCAAGAGAGAGACATTTTAATGAGCTCCCAAGGGTCAAGGGACTTCGGAGAAGATCCAGACAGGCTAAACGGCTTGAAAGCTCACTTCCTTCCCCTTTCAAAATCTTAGCAAAGAGCTGTCTCAATGGGTCTGAATTAGCCCAGTGGAAGAAAAGGCCAACACCAAGCACTAAGATCTAAACTGGAGTGTTTTTTGTGGAATATTAGTACCACGACTCCTGAAGGGGGGCGGGGGGAGGGGAGGATCTAAACTGAGTTTTCTCTTTCTTTTCAAACATAGGGTTAATTAAATAGCAGAGTTGGGCAAGGGGATAAAAATGGGGAAACCTGAAAAATCTCACAACTCTTTGTTAATCAGGTCTCAGAAATCATATCATTATTTTGCTTCTAAAATACATCTACACAATATCAGCAACTTCAGAAATACAAAATTTTGCTATAAGCTTACTATTTTATTAATCATATACCATGTTGCTCTCCACCGGTATATGATTTTGTGCCAGGCACAAATGACACAAAATTGGCTTTGATACAGTTTCTGCTCTTATAGTGTTATGACGACGAAAACAAATACATAGTGCAATCAATGCCCCCTTTTCCCATTTAGATTAAAAAAAGTGCAGCTCGCTGCCAGCGTTCATTTAACATCACACATAGGAAGGCTATGTTTTCTAGGATTTGACATTTTCAGCGATCGAACTACTAAAATCAAATGCTATCAATAGAGTGATGTCATTTGTTTCCAAAGACTATCAATATACTAGAGTAATGCAAAAATAATAATAAAAGCGAGATATTTCATGGCAAATTTTGGGGGTAAGGTTAGGACTGTAATCCATGAGTTATCTCTGGGTAAACGTTGCAGCCACAAGCATCCCCAGTGAGAACTCTCGGGGCAAACAGGAAATGCGTTAATAAAGGGGCATACAAATAATGAGTGGTGGCCTATCGAATTCTGATTGACAGAATCAGAAATGGTGCCACACATACACATACACATATTGAGATACACAATGTAATAAGATGAAGTATGGGGAAGGCATATGACCAATGAAAGGGTGAAATATAGAAAATAAAAACACAAATGAGTTTTTCCTTTTTTACATTTGTTTTCTACCACCCTTATAAGAGAAAAGAGATGGTTAGGAAAAATGGAAGAAGGAAAAGGATTGGGGGGAAAATGAATAAAGGATAGGAATAAGTGTACAGGGCACTGTAGAGTAGTTTTATAAACTGTAAATTGGAACAAAATTCAAGATGACTAGTTTAAACAAAAATGCTCTTCATCTCTCTTCATTCCATAATAAATCTTGGACTGCAATTGTTTTCTGAGTACCTACTTTAAGAATTTGGGGTTCTATCACATCACAGGAACATCAACATGGTTGAAAACAAAATTGTACAAATTGATAAAAGGTTAGAATTTTTCTAGGTTCAATACTTGTTACTAATCAAGTACAATAAGCATATTCACTTAAATTAGAATGTGAAGAAATAGTTTAATGATGGAGGAATGTAAATGGAATGAAAAGGAAAATTTCCAGAAAGTAGTTGATAAAAGCAGTAATAAGAATAGGTTATGAATATGAAATAAAGAGACCAACTGTACAGAAAGAATGTCTAAGAAACAGACCTATGCAAATATGGGCATTTAGGATAAAAGTGGTATTTCAAATAGATTCAAATTGATGAACTAACATATAGTATGAAAATAACTGTCTAACCGGTAGAGAAAAAAATAACTCCTCACACGAAACACTAAAACAAAAATAAAATCTTTAAACATCAAAACAAAATTTTAAATTTTTAGAAGAAAACAAAAATTTTTTTTAATCTAGGGATAGGCCTTAAACAAAACAAAAATTCTATAAAAATAAAGATGGGCTAACTTATCTATAACAAAATTTGAAACTTATATATAACAATAACATCCATAATCGAGAAAATATTTGCAAAAGACAAAAAATTAGTATCTAAAATATACTAAGAATTCCTATTACACAAGAGATAAAATGGGTCAGGCAATTTATAGGAGGAAATAAAATGACCAATAAACATGAAAAGGTGCTCAAGCCCACTAATAATCAAAGAATAAAAATGAGATTAAAATTTTAACTCAATTAACTGGAAATATTCAAGAGTTTCGCAGCAAGGTTTGAAGAAATAGCTAATCTCAAACACTTCATGCATTCCCACTTTTGAAGACAATAAAGCAATATCTATTAAAACCAAAACTATGCATATCCTATTACCCAACAATTTCATTTTCTGGAATTACCTATAAAGAACATTTGTGCAAAAAGGGTGTTTACTGCAGCATTGTTAATAATGGTAAAATACTGGAAACACCCTAAATATTAATCAAAGAAGACCAGATAAATATATTGTGGTATATTTATATGCTGAAATACTATACAGCAATTAAATGAACATTATAGATATTAAAGTGGAAAGAATTCAAGAACGTAATACTGATAAACTTAATAAAACAGAAATACACTTTTTTAAAAAATCATATATGGACTGTAAGTTTACACACACTAAACTCCTGAGTAGTTGCCTCTGGAAAAGCAGGAAGGTAATGGCTCCAGGAAAGAAAAAACTTCAACTCATTTATATAGTGTACTATTTCTTTTAATGTTTTATTTACACACACACAGACACACACACACATCCCCGAAGCAAACATGTAAATCTGGGAGGTAATATACAGGATTTTGCTACATTATCTGTTTTTGTTTCTTCATCTGTAAAATGGGAAAAATACTCTATAGAGTGTTAGAATAATTAAACTATATTAAAAATATAGCAGTCCCATTCAAATTTATGATCATAAATTTCAAATAGATACTCAACACTACTCTAATCATACACCTCACTGAGGTCTGAGTTCGTTCACTCCCCTAAGTGGCTACTGTATACCTTTTTCTCTCTTCAAATCTCTGACAATCCCCTCCTTTCCCATTTCCAGTTAATGATCTTGCCACATTAAGAAAGCTGATGCAATTAGACATCTCACCCAACCTTTATATATCTGTACCTACTTGCTCTGCCTTCCTTCTTTTTACAGTGAATAAAGTGTTTCAGCTCCTATCTAACTTCTCAGTTATGCTCTGGATCCCATGCTTTTTGTTTACTACTCAGGGTTCCATTTTTATAATTATACTTTCTCCCATAACAATCAATTTCTCCTTTATCTTGGGTTATTCTCATCAACAAATAAACATGTAATATTTTCCATCTTTAAATAGCAAAAATACCTCTCCCTCCAGCCATCGTCTAATTTCTCACTTTTATCAAAAGCAAAATTTTTCAAAAAGTGGTCTACATTTGTCCCACATCCTAATCTCTCCTCAATCTATTCTATTCAGGAAGACTGAAAAATTAAACACAGACTTTAAAGTTTATATAAACATATACAGCAGTAACTTATCAATCATATATTAGTCAGAATTTATACAAGATCATTATACAAGAAGATTGTAAGTGATATAAGAGATATACACTCTCCCTAAAAGTTATAGCCTCAAAATTTGCAGACAATGTTCAAGTAAATATCATCCTTTAAGAGGATAAAAGCTTTTCTGAAGTTTTAGGACACCTTATTAAGTTTATGAGGCTTCCAAAATTTCAACAAGGAGATCAAAATGGGCCTTGCTTAAGACAAACTATAATTCGATCAAATGAATCTTGTCTAGAAAGAATGCTCAGAATGCAGGACAATGTTCTGCATAAACGTCTACAAATCAGAGCGAGTAAAGTAAAATCTATTCCTGTGCATTAAAAGCTATCCAAAGTGGCTGGATCTGCTTAGCCTGTTTTTGTTTCTCAAAGAAAATTTAAAACTGTTCTTATCAATTTGGCTGTATATGTCTCTTATTTGTTCACCTTTTCAAGAAGAAGAAATAAAAGTTTTTAAATTACAAGGCTGAAAATCAGATTTAATTCACAATAATACAAGTATAACTAAGTCTCTTTTGCTACCACTTAC